TTTTGGAGAGTTTCAAGTTTGACTTCGGGATCGCGCTGTTCCAGACGTCGGAGTGAATGGACCGGTGAATCAATGCCGGTCTTCCAGGTGAAACGCTGATAGGGTAATCAGATCTTCAAATATCTGAAGACGGATACCCTTCACGCTTAGCGGCTTACGCTCTCGATCCAAATGAGTCGAGCCCTCAACGATTATTCTCCCATTGGACTTTGATCGGACTTCAGAATCGTATTCGTGGAAGATGAGTCGAAGAAAAATTCCAGACAAAGCACCGTTATCGACGAGGAAGAGTTATCTCGTGACTCGAGCGCAATCGCATCGGGACATTGCATAGTATCGATTACGGCCGAGGAATCGGAATCATTTACGAGGAGTCGGCAAGATACTTCGATCGGACGGAGAGAGAAAGAGCCCGTGGTACGTTGGAAGAGAGAAAATGGCCATGGTACGTCAATGCGAGCCGGCAAGCATAAATGACCGCGTGGTCTAAAATTCCGCATTATGGGGAAGCTAGAATGGCGCTCGCCGATTCAGCCGGGAGAGCAAATTCGATTACTCCCAGACAAATATAAAATAAAGGCTACATCGTAAAGTTGTTTCAAGAAGGAAACTCTCTTCCCCGCTCCCCAATACACATCAACCTCTGAAACACGCATCCCCTGTCCCGGAACACTCTCCGGTCTCTTGCACTAAATGGATTCGAGACACTAGTATCGATGGGGTGATACGAGATTCCCCCCCGATAGGCCTGCAGTCAAAGGAGCCCTTTCTGGAGGCTGGAATGATTCATGTCGATTCGGAGACTGAATCGGAAACGGAGACTCCCACATATCCATATCCTCATTAATCGAAAATGAATCGACGACGGATCGGAGGGGGATTCTGGGATTTTTTTCAACTCGACACGCATCAGTCCGACTCACTGTCAGGCTCCGCAGTTCTCTATACTCATTCGGATTTCGTTGTTGCCTCCCCCGAATCGACACTTAAATGAGGTCTCCAGAGTGCCAGCTGAATCCGGTGAGTCGATGAAAGGCTGATGATGTTATCAAAAACGACACCAGTGCGCCTTCATTAATTTATTCTGGCCGCAGACTGGCTTTGTCCTAGAACGGAATTCGCTACACGAGTGCTTCAAATGCCGTGTCTTTTGTTCTTCTACACAACACGCATGAGCACTTGGCGGACACTTAGTCGCAGCTCAAGGGACAATTATTATATGCTACAGTCTCATCTGAATGCTCTGCATGTTCTGACGCATGCGCGAGAAAGATTCCACGGCACTGCCCGTGATTGCTGGTCGCATCCCCGGTCAGCTTTTCTTCGCTCTTCGCTCCCACAAGTGTCATGATCGCGGGGAGGCGGCTCAATCGGACGGTCTTGAACAGTCTCTGAGTGACCATTTGAGCGATGCACTCATAAAATTGGTGAATGGGTCAGAATCGAATCAGAAAGCCCTCATTGAATACGCGCACCGCGTAGACTTCAATATTTGTTCGCTATTATGAGCTCGCAGCCTATGATCTGATAGCGATTAATAAATAAATGATACGAGTAGTTCAACGAGGGATCGACCGGTGAGAGGAATGAAACACCGTGGAATGAGGATGTTCCCGAAGGTCGGAGACACCCTCGATGCGGACTTTACCCGGAATGCATTCGTGCAAGAGTGATTGGTAGCTTGTGCAAGAAAGCGAGAGGATTTGAGCCTTTTATGGTGACTCGAAAGGCCGTTCAGGGGCTCCGCTGGATCTGCGGTCGAAAAAATCGGAGGATTGAGAATGGGGGGATCGAGAGTGCACCCTAGTGACTTGAGGACACTAAAGAAGAGAGATACGTTCGAGAGAGATACTCGGAGCGATGGAACGAGATGTGCAATAGGGCTCGCATCCCGAATCCGAAGCGATGCATTCGGTATGAGTTCCGAAGGCGAAACGGTTCTGGCAAACCGTTATTGTGAAGCGGATCCCGATCTTTCAGATTCGATTCAAATCGTATCACGCTTAACATCCGACGCTCAATTCCGATTCTTGCGGAGCTTGAGCGTATTGTTCCTCAATCAGCGTAGGTTTCGGACCGATTCGACCTGATACCCGATGCTTTTCGATCGAACATCAATGGTAAGCGATGGATCGCCATGCCGCGGGGCCATCAACCCGCTTAGATATTTCCCCTAAATCCTGTATCCCCATTCTCATTCCAGGGAATCAGAGTCAGCTCCTCCAGACGGAAATCAAGGTGGGATCATCGAGCTGAATTCGGACGTCATGAATTTCGGGCGAAAGATCCGAAGATATTTGGGCCAATACCGTTAATTCATTGATAGACGAAAGCTATCTACGGAGTTTTCCTCACTGACCTTCTGACCTCCCGAGGTCCGCTGGCATGAGAAGCAAGGACTCTCATGGAAGAGCCAGCTCGGAGCAGTTCGTCGCGGACTCGAAGGAATACTCGGACACACGTTGGATCTGTTGCGGCCGCAGAGACTTCGCTCAGCCGTCTTGCTCCAGCGGAATATTGAGATATCTCAGAATAATTGAATGGGATCCTATTAGCTCAGAGAAGACATTTCAATCTCGGACGTATGATGTCGAGGGTTGCTGAGCAGCTTCTTGGCATGCCTCTCATCTGAGTCTGGGCAGACTTTCAAGCGTCAGGAAAGTGGAGATTGTCGAGTCCCAGATTCGAAGGACTCGGTCCCGGACTTGGTTCTCTCAGTTCCTCGCAGACACTAAGTGTCTCATTCCCTCATCCGCGCAACTTCACAGCTTCTATCCGATTCTGGGTGGGCGCACTTGTCCGCGATATTCGAGCAGCGCAGAGTTTTGCGAATAGGAAAACACGGCTCCGACTCAAGGCGAAGAGGACCCGTATTCTCCGATAGATAGTCCGTAGCGTGGGACATCGAGACCTTCAGAAATCGTTCTTGTGTGCGATGCCAGAAATAAAATGTATCAGTCAGAACACGAGTCGTTTCCGTGAAGACCACTCAAAGCCAAAATCAAAAGACGAGTGCGTGCATGATACGACCGCGAGCGAGCGAGAAAACGTCGTGATGATGGGCCCCTATCGCATAGGACCGACCGCCACTGATGGCTCTTTGGAGCGAATTGATTTGCACAAAATGCCACTCTGGCGTCGCATTGTCCAGATGAGCGAATGTGATTTATCTCGCTTCATTCTCCGGCTGGTCGGGTGTTCGTCGTTTCCTCCAACCAGCATGCATGCAGACAGTCAGTGTCCGGGTGCATATCTCACAAGCGACGTCAGGTACACGGACTCTCGTGCGGAGCATCACGCAGGCTAATTGGAGGCTCCATGGTTCCATGACCGCATCACTCTCCCGACGATTGATGTCATCTCTGTGCTGAATCCTGTGGAGGGAATGCGCAAGGAGCGGAGTCTGAGGAATCCAGGAAGGAAGTATCCTCCGTGAACCTGTTGTGTTCCCGCCATGCGGTTCAAACCTATTTCACCTAATTCTATCGAGAAGTGAACGAAGTTAGAATAAAAGCACACTCGCTTTCACACCACCGCATGGAACGCTTGCTTTCTCGTGTCTTCCCCACAGAGAACACTTCAATACCTGTCGATAATTTGATGGAAAAAATCAAAGCGGGATGGAAATATAATAATTGTATCTTGGATTCGGGAAACTCAGGATCGGAATGTTTCGAGCGATAAGCCGGCTGCGGCAATAATTCAGCGTGGCGATATCCTGGCCTCCACGGTTGTTGACCGAGAGCTTGTTTGCCCATGCCGCTCGAGGGTTTATAGGCACGCAGCCGTTGCCAGGAGGGTACGGTAAAGGCTAACACACAGTTGATGGCCGTAAAGTCCAAACGTACTCGATGCTTTAAAACTTTCAAATCGCTCGACGTGATTCAAAACCTCATAGAGTCTTCTTACTCGCTCCGGATAGCCTCCTCATGCGGATCGAGCCCGAGCTCTCGGAGCAAGGTCTGAACGTGGAACGTAGCCGTGCCGCCGCCCTCCCCTTAGGCCGAAATCGAGACTTGGAGTTCAAGTCCGGCTTCCCACTCCGATAACTCTTGGACGCAGCGCAGCAACATCGCTTGATGTGCCCGTTAGGGCGTTATTTTTCAGGAGGTTCCGGGCGCGAGTTACGCGTATGAGGAGGAGAAATAGACGCACAGTCGGTATCTTCTTTCTTCGATGATACCGAAGAACCCGAGATGTATCCTCATCGTCGAGGCTCGTCGTCGCCAAGAGCGCTCAGCGGTGGATCCCTGGCGAAAGTTGCAGTCGAAATTCATTCGCCTAACGCCGCGACTCGAATGCAAGGGAGGAACGATGCGAAGTAATTATCGAAGTAGGCAAGAAGTCCCTGCAGAGATTACAGCTAAACAGTCGAGGGCCAGATTGAAGTCTGCCAGTCAATACTGGGATGCACGCACAAGTTTTTTGGCCGGAGTTCAAAGGCCGCTGTCGCTCAGATCGAGCAATGCCGGCCGCGACAGTGGAGGCGGCAGCGGCAGGGTTAGCAATCGAGGATCTTCGCAAGCTCTTGGGAAATCACAGAGCCCGACAAACAATTATCGGCTCTTCACAAGCACACGAACAGCATAGAGCTTACGCATGAACAGCCAACCAAGTAAGCGAACACGAACGTTTGAAATGTTTCCTTCATCAACCGTCTGGGTGTGGAGCTCCGGAATAATCGATTGAGCGGAACGGGAGCTGCTTCAGAGAGCTCCAGAGCGAGCGTGCTTTCGTCGGGAATCGTCTCGTCAGAGAGCGGATCAACAAATCTCGGCTGAAGGCCGAGGGTCCGAAGAGTGGAATCAGGTCCACTCTGCAACTTGCGGTTCGGGAAATATCTGGACTTCAGTGTCGCCGCTGACAGGATGGCAGAGAACCTCGATGGGAATTAAGTCGGGGAAAGAGAGGGCACATGGGAAGAGATTCTTCCTGATTATACATCGCACCCTCGGGAATCCCTCGCGGGTTTGATCGAAAGAAGAGACTCGCAGGCTATGTTTGCGCCAGGATTCCGCGTGGAGGACAAGGTTCGCGGGGATTTATATCAATTTTCTCGAGACAACGTGCCTACCTGGCTTCAAGCATTCAGACGCAGGATAGGCTGAGGATAAACGGTATACAGAATGTTAGAAAATTAAAACAGACCACAGCTGCAGCAGCTTTGCAGCGAGTAACGTTCTACGAAGTTCCAGACGAACCACATGCGAGCGGATTCCCCGACCAATGCGGAATACGCATCACGTGTCCCTATTCTGCAGTTTCAACCGTTTTGCGAATCTCATGTGCGCATCGACGGCTTCCTGTAGCTGGGCCTTAGTGCCCCATGTGTAGAGGCTCATGATATCGAAATTTCTACCGTCAACTTTATCGCCGAATTCTTTCAAACAACTTTTCACTTTATGAGTGGGCGAGGGCTCTGCGGGACAGTCAGCAAGCTCGTCACGCGGCCTGCGATGACCTAATCGTGCCTCAGGATGCGTGGTCACAAGCACGCTCAATGATTTTGTGTCCCGTTTCTCCCCGTTTGTGGAATTACCCCGTAGAATGCATTTATTCCTGCATTGCACTTTGTTATTCGATCCGGCCATCTTATTCGGAGGCTCCGAGGTCTCCTTTTGCTCTTCGCGGTCGTCGTGGATGAATGTGGAAATCGTTCCCCTTATCTCTATGTCGTTCGATTCCTCATCGAGGATACAGTATTCGAAGTCAGAGATATCGGATAGGTAGTCGTCTGCAACAAATTATGCGTGGAGCTTCAATGACGATGCACACCTCCGCGACTCAATAGGATATCGTGGATGCACTGAGCAGCTGGAGAGCTCAGGACAGGACGCTATATTTTGTACCATGGATATTCCACACACCCAGGCGTGAGAAAACTTGGGCGCCGAGGACTCGCCAGACTCACCTGATATCGACTCGTAGTCGCTTTCGAAGACATCTTCTTCGTCGCTACTCACGGGTTCGAACAAGGTTTCCGAACTCATTTTCTGCGCAACTAGAAAGCCAGAAACGAACGGAGCAGAGGAGCACGAATTGCCTCTGCTTTGTGTCGTCTACAAGAGCTCCTCTAAAGACTCAGGAGCCTGAGGATCTCCGAGGATTATTCTAACCTTGACCTGCGCATCAAGCTGCGACCAAATTGACACAAATAGAGACCCGGTGCATCAACGACCAGTACGACCATACACCGCCGCGCCGACCACTTTCAGACTTTTGGGAAAATGTTCTCACAATTCGAGCCTCCGAAAGCGTAGACGCTCTTGACGCCGACAACGATTTTCAATTAGAACGGTAGGCGGCAGTCCTCCTCGAGATGGCCCTCGTCGTTTCGTATTCTAACACAGGAAGAAAAACGAAACCGAATCCGGTTCGAGAGCCACGTGTCGAGCGCCAGCGCCTATACCTGATTCACTGATTTGTCTCGAATCGAAAACTTCTCTCAAAGTATTTTTCACTCGAGTCGAGCTTCTCGATTCGTAACGGGAGCAGGAATCCGGCAGGGTTCCACAATGGAAGAAGCTAGAGTTTCACTGAGCGTAAACACAAACATAGCACGTTCCTTGTTTGTGCGAAGTGTAGGTGCCTCAGACTTCTCTCAATCGAGAAAAACCAAAGATTGAAAGAGTCGCAGAATTCCCAATTTTGCAGCATTATCCGGCGGGGAATCGGAGCGAGAGCTGTGTGCATTTATTACTGCGACGGCTTCTTCGCTTTCCCTCGACACATGCAGTGTTCTGAAGATTTTTCCCGATATTATCAACAGAAGAAATGAAGTTCGAGGGAAGCCTCGACGCTTCCGACCACCCTGGGGCTGAACACAGTATCTTCGACCCTCCATTCCGATAGTTTCCGGAAGTGGTCCGGAAGGGTTCAACTCTTTGGATCGACTTGTTCTTGACTCGTTAGAGTCTCTTCATGCAGGTTAATCCGCCGCCAAAAGGCCGATTATGCGATCGAAGTAAGAGAAGCCTACGTAGACATCTCTGGGGTCCGGTCGGTGGCTCCTCGGATTGGTACAATCGAGGGGGCGAACGCGCAGTGAGGTTCTATCGAATCACAACCAGGAGAGAGACATATACAGCCTAATGAGGCGGTGTGAATCTATCGGCAGGTGTCGAGGGCAGAATGCGGCTCAAGGGATTATTGTCGGGCTCTTAGGGCGGTATCACGGGCCCTAAGGAAGTGGCCCACGACACGATACCTTCACCTCGCTGGCCAGATCCAGGTCGGAACAAATGGCTCCAGGGTTTTCCTTGAGCCTCCTACTGCCGCGAAGGTTTTCGGGCTTGATGCGCCGAGGTTTCTATACATATCTCGATACATTGTTCTGGATCGATTGTAAGAGTGAATTTCGAACACAAATCATGAATGACACTGAAATGTCCTCGAGAATTGATTTCAGGTGCTTGAATACACAACAAGACAGGTTTTCAGCCGCTGGAGGACTCGGAGAATCGTGGAGTTTTCGTGAAGCGATTGAATTTCTCGGACTCCACAGAGGGGATATCAGATATCACCCATCCTACAAGCAAGTGATCTTGTATGGCTCAAGAATGTGGGGCAGATCAGGTCAGAGCACTTCTCTGGAAAAATACGATCTCGATCAATTCCAAGAGGCTTTCCGAATTCAGTCTAGCTCCGTTTCTCGAGGAGAATCGACCCGGGAGCGACCCTCCGTATACGGGGACGTGCGCGGTCCGAGGCGTTTTCCGCGAGATTCGACTCGGAAGGGCTACTCTCTTCGCCGATGGAACCACTTCCACCTGTTTCCGATTGCTCGCCAAGCATTCCAAGGGGAAAAATCTCATCACAGGAATTTCGCGAGTGAAAGTCGTGAATGACTCGAAATACTTTCGCCTCGGCCTCGCACGGTCCAGCATGTCAGCGTCCTCGTCAAGATTGTGACCTTGCGGCCTTCCCAACACCTTCAATCTGGCATGGGAGCTTCAAGGAGGAAACTTCGAATATCCGCATGCTACTTACTGATTGTTCCGGGAAACCCCAGATTCATCTCAACATTCATCGAAGTATGGATACGTACGCGTGAAGATGAGCTCGAAACGTCCGTCCACGGCTAGAGCGTTCGTAGGAGACGGATTCGGCTGGAAAATCGTGGACAATCGAGTGATCTGGGATAACAGAATGCGTTCCAAGAGAATGAAACATCGAGGGACTCCACCTTTCGGTCAATCAGGCGGCTGGGGAGACAGATCTCGGGTATCCGGAGCAGCATGAGGAACATTCGGACATCTGACTCGGAATCTTTTTCAAGGTAGGGCAACGGAACACAGTGGGATCGACATCGCGCCCACACCGAGAGCACCGCCCTGAGATCTCGCGTCGACTGCTCAAGACAAGTCGGCATGATGAAGCCCCATGATAATTTCCACGGCGAACACCGGTCGATTGCTGGAACGCTCAGTTCTAAGACGGGGTACCGTCGACGCGACCCCTCCATCGACACCGCGTGCTGACCTTGCGACACGGCTAAAAACATGAGTCATGAGATTCAAAGATTCCAACTCGTCGGAGGGGTTTGTCTGCCGAATCAAACTCCACCTACGATCACCCGAGCGATCCTCGGGGTTAGCAACGCCATCATTGATCGGTTATGACGAGCAACATTCTCGAAGGCGGAACAGCTCAACATGGAGCGATGTGTGCCAATGGAAGATGGGACCGGACTCATCTCATCCTAGATCTGAGATTCTCCGACGCGGTGCGTGCATAGTCGGCAGAGCGAGAGGGACTTCCCTATCACCGGGAATAGGGAGTTCGATGGAGGAAAAAGCTCAAGTCAATAGCTCTCCATATGCTTCCGAAAGAGGATGAATTCACGAAGAACTCGATGGATATTCAAACCCCTGTTCTGTTCCTTGCGGGGAATAAAGGTCGACGGCGAGCTCCGGGAATCAGAATGGCCGAAGAGCCGATCATTTATTCGAGCAGTAACAAATCGCGTCCACTCATGTCACAATTACCTAATCACTTCCTCCATCGCTTCCCGAATCAACCATGTCCTCGTCGTCGCTGTCGTCGCTCCCACTGTCGCTGTCGAACCATTCGAGTTCCTTCGCGTTCAGCTCGATCAGGGGTTTCCATTGATCCATTTTGTGCAGATCGATGCAATACATGTCTCGTAATGTGTACTGTTTGTCACCTGCGGATCGCGTTTGCTCATTTCAAACTCCCACTCTCTCGTATAGCGACAACCATCTGGTGATCAAAGCACGACAAATCTAGATCCTGAACGATATCCTACCCGATTCGAAAATCCCTCCATAGAGAAAGAGGATCCCATGTTTGATTGCGAGGCACGTGCTCATCCTGGGATGGGGTACGAACTTCTTCTCAACGCCTGGTCTCGCTCCAGCAGAATCTTGGACGTCCCCAGAGCTCGTGGTCGGAGCCGAAGAAATCTTCACCGTGAATATTCCATCTGTCTTGACTTCCTCAACAGTATCTTCGATTTGGAGGTTCTCCATGCTCGAATCGACGAGGTTTTCCGTTTCTTTGGGTCGCTGTGAATCATGGATATCGTGACAGCCAAGAGTACATATGTCGTGGCCGATACAGCGAATATGTGCTTGCCGACCATTTTTGGCAATGAAATAACAGAGGCTCTGTCGATGCCGTTCCTGAGAGATGGGATGGTCGAAGCGAACTCACCTCTTGTCGAAGCTCCAGATGTTTCCATAGGCCTTTGTCGGTTTCGAGGAGATAGAAATCATTCATGCACGAAGACTTTATGGTTTCTTCGTCTTCGTCATCGCAAACGCCGCCGAAGAGGTAGGCTTTGTTGGTGGTGCCCGTCACGATCGACATTCCTGACCTGGGCGAAGGCTTCGACCCTCCCTGTTTTACCGGGCTCCATTTCCATTTACCTTCAAGATCGCGATAGCGTCATGCCGCCTGCTTCAACGACCTCGCAGTAAGAACTCTAAAAAATCATGACTTCCACCAGCATCCGATGCTCACCAGACTTATCCTCGGCCAGATAGAACATGTCGGTGCATGTCACTCCACGCTCGGCATTTTTCCCGTTCTTCTCTTTCGCGTAGCCTCCGTACAGGAGTATGCGATTGTCTGTCATGCTGAGCTGGACTCCGGATCTCGGGGTCGGACCTTGGTTGATTGGCTCGATTTTCGTCCATATCCGATCAGCTATGGTGAACCGATAGACATCGTTGAAGTATCTCGCGTCGCTTCAAAGAAACTTAGTTGAGAGTCAATCGAAACATCGGGTGATGCTGTCTCCAGGACCGACCGATTCATCCTCCAATGGATTATCAGGATCAGCTTCTGTTCACCTTATGGTCTCGTGGAAGCCTCCGAAGACGAAGATCTCTTTTCCATTCGTTACCATCCTGTGTCCAGACCTCGAAGATGGCCCTCCCGGAGCATCAACCTTCTCCCATCTTTTCTCTTGGATATGATAACACCACAAGTCTTTGTAATGATAAAATTGAGATTGGGTCGGACTTGCGAATTCTCCTCCGAAGACCCAGATCTGACCGCCGCCTTGGGCGACGATCACGGCTTGTTGGGAGCATCGAGGAGGAGGAGCTAACGGGGTACACAATTTCAGCCACGAATTCTTTTTGATATTGTACGTGTACAGCTCGTTGTACATAAAGGTCTTCTGGCCGTTGAAGTAACTCCCCCCGAACAGGTAGAGAAGGTCCTTGTCGGGACTGGCTACGAGAGAACATCCGCTCCGTGCGGACGGTGGATCCACCAGATCTTCTGCGACACGTTCTTTCTTGCGATCATTCTCAACGAAGCTAGCGATCAGAGCCTCGATATTATCCTGAAAGAGAAATCATTGAGCTGTTATCTCCTAGATCTAGATTCACGAGAGGGTTTTCGCGACATCCAATAGCAAATGCTGTTCCGATTACTCACTTCGCCTTTCGCAACAAGGCTCTTGTTGAGTTTGGATTGGGCCTTCTTCGCCGTTTTCAAGGCAGTTTTCTCGGCACCCTTACCCTTCTTCTTATTGTCTTTCTTGCCCATCCTGAGTGACCACTAATCATCTGGAATCGCGAATAGCTTATCTCGAAGCATAGTCAATCTTGCCGATCGTGGACCACCTGTCGGATTATCGATGAGCATTTCGTGGCACTGCACAAAACAAATGCCCCCGAGCGTCCAAGTGTCAGCGGGCGAAAATTCTCAAATGGTAATATTGTTTCGTATAGAGTATAGATTCTGGCTTTCCGAGCTCAGAGACTCTCTTGGCGCGCGGCTCCCTCGAAATACCCCTAGCGGCGGAGCTCGCGCAGCACGCGAAATGCACACGTGAACAGACCTGTGGAATTCTTGTACAGGAGCACACTTTCCTCCGATCGAAGACCACTCCGTTCCGAAGAACGTTGAAGGAATGTATAGTTTCGACAGATCTTTCGTTTGAAAATCACAGGAGCTCGAGCTTTACAGGAGGTATTTTTGTTGACAGATCATCAGGGATGACAAAAGTGCCGATGATCTTTGCTGAGCGGGAGATTTGGAGCGCGCGATGGAACCCCCTTTTCACCGACGCACAGTGGGGCCAAATCGAATTTTAGGTGGACAAAAGTCCATGGAAATCGATCCCGGAATTTTGATCGGTTATGGGTTTGAGAATGTTCTTAAGACTCTGAAAGTCGCGGGGGAGCCATGATTACCGCATTTTCCGCATCCCCCAGCCACCCTGGCACCTGCGAGAATAAAATTGTTTTTTTATTTTTTCGGCGATTTTCATGAATTTCTCCCCCCAATCGGTTATGCTCGGAAAAGAACATACTTCGTCCCCTCGCATTGGGGGGAAATTATTTTCTGCGCTCAGTTCCCATCCTGATCTCGCGATCCCACATGATTCCGGTCGAGTCAGCCGATTCTGGACTTGCTGGGAAGTGGGAAGACTTCTTCGCCGAGACGAAAATGTTCGGAAATTCGTTAAATTCTCGATGTCAGAAATGCGGTGTCCCCACGTGTCCCCCCTCTGATTTTTTTCTTTTGGGGAGTTTCGGACCTCTACTGGCCGCAGGAAAAAAATTGAGGCGCGAAACCCAGCGGTTCTCGAACGCCGTCCAGCCAAAGTTGGGATCTGATCTCGTGGATCGGTACCATTCTCATGTAGTTTTTCGAATCCAAATCAGCACCAGCAGTTGGAAAACATTGTCGCTCTCTTTTCACTCTCCACTTAACTCTGGGAACGAGTCAACGCCGCGCCAAGACGCGACGCCCACGTCTCGGAACGGGAAAAACGTCAATCTCCTCCGACATATGGACGTCAATCTCTTGGTGCTGATTTGGATTCGAAAAACTGCATGAGAATGGTCCTGATCCACGAGATCAGATCCCAACTTTGGCTGGACAGTATTCGAGAACCGCTGGGTTTCGCGCCTCAATTTTTTTCCGCGGCCAGTAGAGGTCCGAAACTCCCCAAAAGAAAAAAAGTCAGAGGGGGGACACGTGGGGACACCGCATTTCTGACATCGAGAATTTAACGAATTTCCGAACTTTTTCGTCTCGGCGAAAAAGTCTTCCCAGCAAGTCCAGAATCGGCTGACTCGACAGGAATCATGTGGGATTGCGAGATCAGGATGGGAACTGAGCGCAGAAAATAATTTCCCCCCAATGCGAGGGGACGGAGTATGTTCATTTCCGAGCATCGCCGATTGGGGGGAGAAATTCATGAAAATCGTCGAAAAAATAAAAAAATTTAATTTTATTCTCGCAGGTGCCAGGGAGGCTGGGGGATGCGGAAAATGCGGTAATCATGGTGCCCCCGCGACTTTCAGAGTCTTAAGAACATTTTCAAACCCATAACCGATCAAAATTCCGGGATCGATTTCCATGGACTTTTGTCCACCTAAAATTCGATTTGGCCCCACTGTGCGACGTTGCTCCGACGGGGTCGATGATGACATGGGGTGCACAAGAGCTGGCAATTCGCTCCTTCACTGGAAATAAATGTGTGCACTGCACCTTTCATCGGCGAAGAATCACCCTCGAGGAAAGAAACGCGCCTACAGTTGCAGTACGTTGCACAGTACAGACATACGTTTATATATATAAAAAGATATATTAAAAATATAACATAATTATAAATATAACATAATAATATAATTATGATAATACTACTATAATAATATATATATATATATATATTTCGTTTATTCGGTTCAAAACTTGGCAATCGAAAATCATCAGCTAATCTGATCTCTCAACCGTGCATAAGGTCGAGCTCAAGGCTTTTGGGCAGTATTCTACACCCGAAATATGCCTCGCGTTACCCCTCTGTACTTCCACTGCGATGCGCTGCCTTATGAACAAGGCGGCTCGGCGGTCGCCTCCACGGGCGACATTCTTATTATTATATTAGCACCAGCTCCTTATTGTGGACTCAAACGGGAATCCCGAGCTCATTGCCCGGGTGAGAATTCGTAGGTTGATGGCAGCGGCGAATCCACCATCGGGAATTGCGGCGATTTGTCGCGATGCGATCAATTCCATGAGAAAAATGATTTCGTTGTTGGGCTTTGGCACTGACCACCTTCTGACGGTTTCTAAAACTCGTCGGCTCGCAATCTTCGTCATGAAAATCCGCCATGGATAATCCTGATGATATCACTATACAACCGGAAAAGTCTTGAACGCTATTCCGAACAGTCAATTGGACCCCCAAGATGAGCAAACAATCGATCGAGCAAATCTTGAACTCGAGACTATCTTGCTGCGTAGATTCGCATTGGCGCCTCACAACGGGAACGGCCGCGCCGCCGCGGCGGCAAAGGAGACGGAGCGCAGAATCAAAATTGTCCGTCATTTCCATGGGGATTATGGAAATGCGAACAATATACGAACTGATACTCCGGACGGGATGAGCCCTTATGAATATCTCCCTAAAAATTGGAATGTTTCCGGAATGCTAGAAATGGAAAATTTACTCTTCGGAATATTCCCGGAATGGTAGAAATGGAAAATTTACTATAGCGCAGAAAACGAACGCAGGCAGAACGGAACTCCGTCGCATTAGAGCGAGCGCAAGGGGCGACCGCGTCACGGTAGCGGCGGCAGATCGGGCGGAATTTCCAGATCATCAAGTAGATCCTCTATGATAGATGCATAACTTCTGTGTCGAAATGAGGTTCGAGCTGGTGATGAGCTTTCAAGCAATGGGAGGGGGTGTCCGTGCTTCACAGACGTTTTCCAGATCATCAAGTAGATCCTCTTGAATAGATGCATAGCTTCTGTGTCGAAATGAGGTTCGAGCTGGTGATGTGCTTTCAAGCAATGGGAGGGGGTGTCCGTGCTTCACAGACGTTTTGGTCGGAATCGGTGAGGATTTTTGTCTACAGACAGACAGAGTGACACACAGACTTAGCGTTTTATATATGGGGGGGATTCTTCTTATATATATTTATTACAGTCAAGTCTTCCTAAGTTATAATTCTCGGGAGTTCGGGAGACCGATCTCGGAGAAAATTCCAATTCGTCGAGTTCCGTAGTTCACCGAGGGACAGTAAGCGATTGTGATCCACACGCAGAGCAGACGGTCTTTAAAGAAAAACAAGCGAGAAGGGTCGTCTGGAGGAAGAAAACCCTCACTTGTTGGATGGCGCGTAGCGAGTAGCTGTGAAGAGAAGTCGCTGCCCGCGATTAGAAGTTTCTAAATTGTATGGAAGGGGAAGGTGGGGAGTTGATCGGGATATCATTGCGTTTATTTGAGCAGTCTTAGCTGAAGACTTTCCGGCTAAGCATAGTGGGAGACTAGAGTTCATCGGCATACGCATGTATCCTAGAGTTTGAGATCAAATGAAATGTGTTGTATACAGCATGTAGTTCGAGAATGAAATCATTTGCCGACATCGTTTTCACTTCCGTTCCGGAGTTCACTAGTACCTTGTGTGCAGGGCACATGGCAAACCCGTGTCGACACTGAACGATGAAAAAATCTCGACTGACGAGGAAATATATCACGGAGATCGCGCGGCAGAAGCCGGCGCTATGATGTACGTATAGGTGGACAAATCGATCTAGTGGCCGCGTGGCTTTCGGGGACCGGACCGTAAGTGTCCCGAGAGGACTTCCTGTCGACGTTCGGACCGGAGTCGGTTGGGGAGTGCGCAGGCTCGAGGGAAGCGGAGCGGCCGAGACTGTCTTCGTCCGGAGCCGTGAGGGAACGATCGGGTCTAGTTCCGAGAAGTGCCTAGAGAGACACCGAACAGAAACCGCGTGAATATTCATGCCAGGGAGGGATGATTGCGGTGGGAGCCCTCGGTGAACTCCTTCACTCTCCTCTTGGAATTACAGTCAAGTCTTCCCACTACGTGAGTCGACTAGACT